TTGCATTTCTTGGCTCGAGCGAGCGAGGACTATGTTTTTTCTTTGCTCGAGCGAGATTTTCTTCGCTCGAGCGTGCTTCTGGGTTGCAAACCTGAAGCTTCGAATTGTTGGCTCGAGCGAGGCTTTCTACGCTCGAGCAAAGTTTCTTTGTGTCTGGTCGCTCGAGCGACCATTCTTTCACTCGAGCGAGCCTCGAATATATCAGTTGGCAGCAGCGGGTTACACTTCACTTTTTCATCATATTTTTTTGTACAAACCCTAGCCCCGACTGCTCCTCTCTCTATACACACTCTCTCTCTCTCTCTAAGATTTCATCTACTTCTAGTGGTCTCCTACCCTAATCCCTTTGTAAGAAGTGTGGAGCTTGGTGTGGGCTTCGTTTCAATCTGAAAAAGTTGGTGTTTGGAGCATCTCGAGTTTTCACCTCCATCTCCTTTGAGTCTCTTCTCTTGAGGTAGGGATACCCTACTCCATCTTATGGGTTTTGACATAAATTTTAGTCATTCTGAATAGTTGGTGTTGTTGAGTAATTTTGGGAAAAGTTGGGGTTTGATGTGTAATTTAAAAAAAAAGGGTTTTGTGTTTTAAAAACTCCATGTGTATGTGAGACCTTGGAAAATGGTATTATTGTGGTTAAATTGAAGAAATTGAACCTTAGGGTTAATATTTGAAAAATGGGTGAAATGCCCTAGTTATGTGGAATAATTAATTTGAATAATTAATTTGGGAAAAATGTGTAATTGAGTGGGAATTCATGAAATGGAGAAGTTGTGAAATTGAATGGTGTAGTTGGATAAATTAATCACTCACTTATGAAAATGTTGATAATTTATCTGTTTAGAGATAACTGCTTTGGGCTATCGGTGGAGGATAGTCTTGATTGTTGTAAACATTGCATGTTGATTAGGGAAAACTGAAACTAATCACATTGAATATGACGGTTGGAATAATACATCAAATATGTGTATTGATTGATCATTGTATATGATAAGTGGTTAAATACATTGTATATGTATGTTGTGTGAGAGGATATAGAGGATGTACTCCATGGTTTGGGAGGAGATAGGGGATGGACTCTCAAACCTGTTTGGGAGGAGATAGGGGATGGATTCCATTGGTAATTGAAGTATGGAAGTGTTTTAATATGAGTTATAATCTCATTTAATTGTTTGGCCAGGTTCTGAGCTATGTTTATGAATTAAAATTGTTTAAGTGAAGGAAAGTGGAATGAAAAAATGAATGTATCTATTGTTGAATTGAAAAGTGTTGTAAGTTAATTTATAAGTGTTAACCATCGATCGAATGCTAATATTTTAGTTATTTCTCATAATTGGTTTAATATATCTCTACTGGGCATTGGCTCACCCTATATGGGACATCATTTTCAAGTTCAGATGATATGCCACCTCCAATGACGTAGCTTGAGAGGCTTAGAGGCTGGAGGATCTTTTGTTATTCTCTTTTTGGTATTACATGTAAATTCAAGCCAATGGCTTATTTTGTATAAAGAGTTAGAACTCTTCTTTTATTGTATCCAAGTGTTGACTTGGAAAATTGTAAGCCCGTAGGGCATTTACTTTTGATGTCAACATGTAATACTTTTGTACTTAATACTCTGATGAATGGAATTATGCCGTGTTCTCTTATGTCTATGCATGTCAAGGATGTGGGGTTTTATGTATTATTTTGAGGGTGTTACATCATCTAAGGAATAACACAATTCCCTCTTCTCAAGCATCCTCAACAATTAGCCATTTCATGACTATTTAAACGTTTTGAACAATAATTTCCAAAATGAATAACAATTCTTATATTCCCTGAAATTCATCATTTATATAAATATAAATAAGAAATTTTCTAAACATCTATTTATTTTGACACACAAAATAAATATAACAATATCATTCATGGATTTTCAGTCTTCTAAAAAAAATCTCCAAATTCTACGTTTTCTCACCAAAACTATACAACTTAAATCTTTTGAAAGAAACTTTCCAAAATCATCTTTTCTTCAATCAACGAAGATCAAAACCCATAAGATCATTTTAAAAGAACAAGAGACAAACCCACTTTCAAAATCGCTCAACTTCTTGAATCAACAATCAAGTTTCAAAGCTATCGAAGGATGATTTCAAAAATCATCTAGATCTTGCAAAAATATATATATATAACTCAAAGAAAATCCCTACCTCAAGTTTTATATGAGGCCCTTCTCTCGAGGATGATTTTGAAAATCATCTAGATCTTGCAAATATATATATATATATATAACTCTAAGAAAATCCCTACCTCAAGTTTTGAAGAAGAAATGAGATGAAACCCCCAAAATCAACGGTATCGAAACCCGATCTTCACCACACATAACGAAGCCTCAAGATGATAACCCATTTTGATGAAGAAGCAATGGCAAAACTCAAATGGATCTTGAGAAATCAAGGTTTTTGATATAGTTTATGTAGAGAAATGTGGAGAGAAGGGAGAGGAAATGTTTTTAGAGAGAGATATATACAAAAGTGATCTGAAATAGCATATTCATGAACTGATATAACATGGTTTGCTCGAGCGTGGAAAGCCCTGCTCGAGCGTTGAATACACTTTCCCAGTACTTTTGCGGACAAGTCAAACTTCTGGAACAAAACATTCTTCGCTCGAGAGCATAAACGGCCGCTCGAGCAAACAAGCAACTTTGAATGCATTTTGCATTTTGCATTTTTGCTTTGGGGGCGCTACCCCTCGACCTTGCCAGGGTGCTGCCCTCGGACCCCCCAAGGGGCGCTGCCCCTTGGACCCCCGCGAGCTGACCGAGAAGCTCGATCCCCGACCTAGTTAGCGAAGTGGCAAAACATGAAAGATACGCTACAACCCGACACAAACATGAAACATTACCTGTTCCAAACATACCGCTACAACCTAATAACCAAAATAAGGGGGATATAGGGAACTAAGATACCTAACACCATTCAAAACCATACCAACCCGAGCCTGAAACACCACAAAGAGACGTGTCAAAACCAGGATTGCTATAGTTTATAACAAATTAATCAAACTTTAATTGAAGCATTCACATATTGAATTCAATCTGTTTAAAAATTACATGACATTCAACAACGTAATTGCAGTTAACTATTAAACAATAATTAGGTAAAAAATATGTATCTTGAGTTTTTGATTTTCAAATGGATCAAAAAGACCCTATCTACCATTGGTTTTCATTATATATATAACGACTATTATGAGGTTAAAATAAAGTAGTTGATTGTATATTTATTAAGAAATTTGAGATCTATTTGCCTAAAAAACTCCTTTGTGCAGAGGATGTTTTACTGCAGAAAAAGAAGCCTACTATTTAAAAACCTACTTAATTAGTATACTCACTACATACATACATACATATATATATATATATATATAATTAAGTTTAATTATATTTGGATTTGAATCCAACGTCCTCCTTATATATTACAACAAAATAGAACATATAAATTAATATAATTGAAGAAAAAATATAATGAAAAATAAATGAGATTGAACAAAAACTTCCTTCAAAGTCATGAATGTATTCCAAATACTCTTCTCAATTGGTAAAATTTTCTATAAAAAAAAAAATATATGTGTGAACTGCAATTGCATTGCAAAACATCACTCTCTGTTTTGATCTTTTAGCCCGTCGTTGCCACTGTTATTTTTTTCCAATGCATTGTACTTGTAATTTTTTTTAAAAAAAATGAACAATAGATTTTGCAGGCACAATCGCATCTATTATATTATTATAATTTCAACAACTAACTTAGATTATGAAAAAAAAAAAAAAAAAAAACACCAAATAAATGGCTTCCGATAAATTACAATCCAATCAAATCTGTAAAATATATATATATATGAGATTTCAAACATGTTTTTTTTCTTTTCATATATATATATAGGATGCTAAAAATCTTACATGGTCAAATCACCTATTTAATTCCTCTGCAAAATTCCTACTTTTCTCTAATCTTTTTGCCCAATTTCGTGTTGTTATGGAAGTTGGGTTTTGAGATTTATAAGTTTAATTTTTTGTAAAATATCTTTGCGTAAGATATAAATCAGATGAAGAAATTTGAATTAAAGTCAAACTGATTTTTTTATCTCTAATATATTTTTCATTTGAAGTCATAAATTAAGGGATATAAATGGATTAATTACTATTTTTTTAAAAAATGATTCAATAAAAGTTAGCCAATAAAATATTTTTAAATTATTTAAAAAATAAAATTCTAAAAAAAATAGCATAAAAATTTTTAGCTTCAGATAGACTTTCTCATTAAAAATTTCATTTTCTTTAACATATATATAGAGAGACATTTATCTAATTGTCACATCATTATTGTATTAAATTAAATTCTGTGTGTACGCAATGAGTGGAGACAAACATAAGAGAATGGAGAATCTTTTGTGCAATGAGGATAGCCAAGACAATGCCCATTATGGTAAGATATTTGATTGAAGGAAAATATTTGAGACCTTTAAAAGAAATTTTCTAAATTTAATTTATAATATTCAATCATATAAAGTCAATTTTGATGATATATTATTGTGAGTGAATTTGTAAGTTTTTAATATTTATATTCCTTCAATTATGCTATTGAATGATAATTTTAACTTTTTAAAATTGAAAAATACGTACATTTTAATGTGTTGAAAAATTCTCTCTCTCTATGTATATATAGGGTCTTAATATTTATATTCCTTCAATTATGCTATTGGATGATAATTTTAACTTTTTAAAATTGAAAAATACATATATTTTAATGTGTTGGAAAATTCTATATATATATATATAGGGTCTTGTTAATGATAGCAATAAGAATTATATAATACCAATATTTGTAATCCTAAAACATATTTTACATATTCCAAACACTTTTACTTATTTTTATTCATTCTTGACACATTTTAAAACTCTTTATATATATTTTTCAACACTAACAATAGCCTTCAAAGTTGTTTTTAGCATTTTTCTTATATACAAAGAGGTCTTTAGAGGAGCCTTGTAGAAATGTTTATACTTTCTAACATTCCTAAATCAACAAAATCACTCATTTATCAATAACTTTTTAACATGATAATTGAGAAGAGTATGATTTAAAGGCTATAAATAGATTGGGATGGGATGATATAATTTTTGTTACAAAAGGCCCAAAACCATGAAAGACGATAGGACAACCACACACAACCTAAAAAGTAGGCAACTGAAGGAGCTTTCTCCTTTGCCATGTTGGGGGGAGGCATGATTGTTGCTTGCTACATTTAGAGAAACTTCAATTTGGCCTTTGCTAATAATCTTTATATTATTTATTTATTTTGATGAGGCCTTTTATTTTTCTGATAATTACATGCCTCATGGCGCAGAAGCCTCTCTACTACTTGGCTCATAGTTGGTCTTGCATCTGTGTTTTCGTCTACACACTGTAATGCCACTTCAACTAATATTTCCATCTTATTTGCGTCATATCTATCCTTCATCGTTGGATCTATGATCTCCTCAAGCCACAATTCCTTCGAAACATTTTCATTCATCTTCTCTCTCACCCACGTAACTAGGCCCCTTTGTTCCATCTCCCCTGAATTGTCAGAGGTGTGAGGAACAACCATCGGGCTTTTTCCGGTGACCATCTCCAACACCACCACTCCGTAGCTGTAAACATCAACTTTGGATGTGATTCGAAAATTGAAAATCCACTCAGGAGCCATGTAACCTCTTGTTCCTCTTACTCTAGAGAAGCCTGAGTGATGTCCATCACCTCTGTTCAATAGCTTTGAGAGACCAAAATCTGCAACCTTTGGCTCATAATTAGAGTCCAAGAGAATATTCTGAGGCTTCACATCACAGTGGAGAACCCACTCCAAACACTCATCGTGCAAATAAGCCAAACCTTTTGCGGAGCCTACCACGATATGAAACCTTTTCTCCCAATCAAGGGTATTGGAAGTAAGATTTTCTGCTAAGGACCCGCGCTCCATGTACTCGTACACCAAAAGCCGGTGTTTTCCGTCCACGCAATATCCCCATACCTCTATCAAGTTCATGTGGTTAACTCTTCCAATGGTGCTCACCTCGGCCAAGAATTCATCTTCTCCTTGTTTAGCTTCATTGAGCCGCTTGATTGCTGCAACTCGACGATCAGACAACACACCCTTGTATACCACGCCACCGCTTCCTCTTCCAATCTCTTCACCAAAGTTACGCGTTGCTTTCTTTAGCTCATCGTAGGTGAATTTTCTAAATCCAGTCACGACTTGAAGGTAACTTTGTGTAGTTGCACTTGAATTTTGACGGTTTCTATACAATAAGTACATCACCAAACAAATACAAATAATCTCAACTCCTCCAATAGCACTGGCAAACCAAACCATGAACTGCAATGTCCCATTTTCTTTGGGTTTCTCGTAACTTCTGTCGAGCTGCAAACAATGTGGGTGAGAGCAATTTGAGTTGAATCCTTGAACATGCTTCAGATAAAATGGGATTGAGGCTTTCGGTAATTTTATGTATGTAGGATCTGGAAAATTTGGTGCACGATATCCATTGAAAAGTAGTTTCTTGGGATAGCAGTCGTAAAAACCATTATCCCAGTTAAATCTGTATTGAAACCCATAACAGTCGCAGCTTCGCAAGCATTCATTCTCACACATCTTGAAGGTATAATTGCTACTGAACCTAATACCATCATAGCTATAGAATGCAACATGAGGAAGATGGAGGAAACCAACCTCAGTATCATTGCAAAAGAGACTGAAATTTGGCTCACATCCGAGAGATTGGTCTGTTTCATTTTTAATCTTGTACCCTGGTATACAAGAGCATCTCCTACCAGATTTCTCATGGGGAACATAAGTACACAAACTGTTGGGTCCGCAGATACCATGGATCCTGCACGGTTGAGATTTGGCTTGCCAAGTCACGTTCCAAATTTTGCTTTTCTCGTCTAGACTGTACAGTCGAATGTTGCCATCGTGATCCATTGTTAATCTTCTCTGAATCCCAATTCCAAAATCTGCAGCTGTGAATTGAAAATCATCGCTTGATTTGAAATGGCCCAAGGAGTTTAATACAGCAATTCTGCTACTGTTGTAATTAGACCTTCCAGCCTCCCAGCCTTTTAGCCATGGGTCCGGCCAATACATGCTGCACAGGTCAGGGCCATCATAGACAAGACGGAGGATGTTTTCGTCGCCGAAAAAGAACTTGTAGAAACCAGAAGAATAATTGGTTTGGCTTCGAGATGACACAAGCCTTGTGTTTCTGGTGAGTGGTTGGTAGGGAAGAAGGGTATCGGTTGGTGACTGAAAACTTTGCCAAAGAATTAAACCCTCCGAAGTAAGAAGAACGAGATTACCAGTGTCATTCAATTGCAATTGCACTGAAGATATTGACTTTGTTTCGGTGGCCCAAACATTGAATTGGCCGGCATCTGTCAAGATGAGATTGCCATTTTTAAGGAGGGAGAGCTTGGATAGTCTTCCATTAATGGGTTGGTCTCGGTTGGCCATCCAGACTGTGGTGTGACTCCCATCATACAATGGTTCACTGTACCAAATAGCAAAGCAATAAGCATTGACGCCAACAGAGTAGAAGCCTGCCGAGAATACACCGTTTTGTGAAATCAAAACATTGTCCGGCTTCTCCACCGAAAGAGATGAACCTTCACTCATGCTATATATGTATGGTGTTGAAAATGAAAGGGATGGGAATAACAGGATCAATGGAATGATAAGGATTAAAATTGGTGTAGCCATGAAGTGATGATTCTGCATATGAATTTCTTAAACAACTGTAGTTGTTGTGGGATGGTGGTGGTGGTGAATATATATGGACAGTGTATTTTTCTAGCAAAATTTATTTTTTCCCTTTTAACAGTGTGTGAACTGGCCCCGTGCCATGAATATTTTGTTAATGTGCGTTGAATATCTATTCGAAAGGACTATTGATCCAAACAGATGGTTTTGAACGGGTCAAATGGTTTTTTCTTTCAAAATTATTATTGAATCTTTTGGACAACTAAGTCATATTTCTCATAAAATGTACTAAAAAGATTCATTACTCCATAATGATATATCTTATTCCAATTTTATCATTTTCATTTATATAAACATCAAATTTATAAACAATTTTAACTGCATTAAAATTTAAAATTTTAATTACAATAATTATTAATATTATATTAAAAAAATCATAAATAACAATTGGATTGAAACAAGTATAATACAAAATACGTCATTCTGTGTGATTTCAAATTATGAATTTAAACAATTTAAAATGGTTAAAATCTATCAAAATTACAGAGAGTTATGAAAAATAATATATGAAAATTTTATAGATATATTTCTCAATGCATGATATACTTAATGAACCTCATTTTTTTTATATTGGTAAAGTAAAATTTTATTAAAAATATGAAATTAAAGATACAAGAAATACGATACACTGAGAAAGATTTAGAAAATACAAATTTTCTTATTACTAGAACTATCATCTATACAATCAATCCCTTAGCCTCATAATTTTTTTAAAGATTAGAGAAAACAAGAACAAAACGGCAAAAAAATATTAATCCAATTGGATAGTGAATACCACACTAATTTAATAGGATTATTAATACTTCACTATTAATCTTGTGAATCAAACATGACCTAAAGGTACAAGAAATAAGATACACTGAGAAAGATTTAGAAAATACAAATTTTCTTATTACTAGAACTATCATCTATACAATCAATCCCTTAGCCTCATAATTTTTTTTAAAGATTAGAGAAAACAAGAACAAAACGGCAAAAAAAATAAAATAAAATAAGATAAAATTAAAAAAATAAAAATAAAATAAATAAATAGAACTTAACTTCAAAACAAAATACTTCAACCCAAAAAATCAACCCACGCAACCGAAATCAACCCACGCAAGCCAAAGCTCTGACACCCAAACCCATAGACTATTCAGTAACCAACCCATCTAGAAGCTTCTTTTTTATATACTCCCTCTGTCCCAAAATTTTGGTCCCTTTTGGGGAATTCAACTTTTTTTGGTAGTATACTTATTGCATTTGAAAAAAGTTAGTTTTCCAAAATTACCCTTTTGATAGTACATTTTTTGGGAATATCAATGTCATAATTGTACTTTTTAAATTGTTTATTAGTTTAAAAGAAGGGCAAAATAGGAAATTTACATTATTTTTGTACTTGATTTATAAAGAGGGACTAATATTTTGGGACAATGAAAAATGGAATAAGGGACTAATATTTTGGGACGGAGGGAGTAGAGACAATTTATACGTAAAATAAATATGAGAAAGTGTGTGTATAATTTATTTTTTTTTTTTTTTTTACAACCAAAGCTATTGTCACCTACCCCTAGAGCTAGAGGTCATCAAATGGCTCGAACCCGGTCCATTCGGTCTATGTCCATCTTAGTCCAGTTGACTGCTTATTCTATTTAAAATTCATAAAAGATGATTTGAGAATCAACAATAATTTAGACTAGTAAAAAATACACCATTAATAATATTAATGTATTAGGAATGATAAAAAAAAAAAAAAAGAAAAAAAAGAAAAAATAAGACATAGAAAGTGGGCGGGACCCACTGCCACATCATTAGTGTTCCCCATAGTGCTCCCTTTCTAGTGCTCTCAAGTATTTTTCTTTAAGAATTTGAAAAAAGAGGTATAATCTGAACTCGTCCATTAACTTGTTCCGTAAGAGCTGCATGGGTAAACTCAACGCAATCATTCCATTAGTCCAACTCAAACTATCTCGTCTAATTTTTATTTATTTATTTATTTATTTATTTATTTTTGATATGTACCCAAGACAAAATTAACCTATCCAATTCAAATTTAATCCATCAAATTATATTATTGCCTAGATATATATATATATATATATATGTGTATGATATTTAAAGTGCACTTTTGGGTTAACGTTTGTAATTTTGTTTTGATGTATTAATTTAAACTTGTGGGATTTTTGAGGGAGGTAGAACATGATCAAATTCAAGGTAGGTTATGCCAACCTAGTTGGATTTTCTAGCCTTGTGTAATGCTAGTCTTTCTGTTTTTTTTTTCTTCTTCTTCTCTACTTGTAGGTATTATAAATAAAATTATATTATGTTACTTGATTATTTTTTTGATTATTCGAGGTAGGTTATGCCAACCTAGATGGCTATACTTTATTTCTGTCTAAAACATTTGGCTACCAATCATGCTTTGAAAGTATGTACTGAATTATCAGTACTGTACTTTCTTCTAAAAATTCATTTGCAGCAAATAGATTGAGAATCCAAAGGTAAATCAATCAATGCCCAAGTCCCATTCAACATAAGTGAATTCATTTCATCATTGATGGCTTCCTTTCAAAATGCTGAATCTCTAAAACTAATGGCCACTTTAAAAGTTTTAGGATCATCCTCAATATATAATGCCATAGGCATTAACCGTGTCAAATTTTCTCTATCTCCTTCTACTAGAAAAATAATAGATTGTTTTTTTTTTTATCGGCAAAGAAAAATTTCATTAAAAACATGAAATTTACAGGTACACAGAAATAAAACGCACTGAGAGAGATTCGAAGAGTAAAAATTCACTCTCCTACTACTGCTACTCGCAATCTTACAACCAACCCCTTAGCCTCACAATTTTAAATTTTAAAAACAACTAAAAATAAATAAATAAAAAAACAAAATAAAAAACCAAACTCTTGAGCTCCCACCTACATCGCAGCTACACACCCCAGGTACACACCCCACGACTGACTCAAATCTGATACACTCTTGAGCCCCACGCCTGACCCGAAGCACTCTGCACCACTCAACCTCCATTGCCGGACACTCAACCACCCGTCGAGAACCACCCGACAACAGCCTCTTCTTGCTTCACCATCGAGAACCACCCGTGACCGAACCTACTTTGCTTCACCTCTGAACATCGCCAGCCTCTTCTTGCTTCACTCTCCTCTTCTACAGCTACTGCAGCCACCTCCTTTGGTTCTTCTCCGTGACCCAAACACCTCCCACGAATGGTCCTCACCCCCAGACGCTGAGCAGTCCCCTCTTTGTTTGCCCAGTGCCAAACTCCTCATAACCGAACATAATCACCAACCACCAAAGAAGCGGAAATCACCCCTCAAACTTCCAATCGCACAGGAGCGCTCGAATGGAGAACCTAAACAGCTTTGAATCCTCCACCCCTCAAACTCCCGCTCGCAAAGAAGTGCCCGAATGAAGATCCTGGACCAACCCACCCATGTTCAACGCACCCAACCTAAACCGAGACCCATGGCTGCAGTAGAACACCAGGCTGAATCACCACTTCCACCGAAAACGAGCAACCTACACAAATCGAGTATCCTACACAAAAACGATAAACCCAAAACAGCAACCTAAACAAATCTAGAGATTAGATCTGGAAAGGAGAAAGAGGAAAACTAAAGGGGGCTCAAGTTATTTGGGAGAAAACCCAAGAGCACAAGAAGAAAGGATAGGCCAGCCAACCGCCATGGCCAAAGGCGGCGGCCGGCTGGCCAACGGTGAGGCCCGAGGTGGAGGTTTTTTAGAAAGAGAGTTTTTTGTGACAAGATAAAATCAAGATCTAGGCCTTTTTCCTTTTTTGGTCTCTGACATTTTCTAGGTTCTTCACTAGGAACTATATGTCTTTTGACATTATTTTGTGGCTCCAATTCTAGAGAAGAATTAGGTTCAAAATTCTGTAGTTCTAGCTCTTGGGAGCAGTTCTCAGTCCTTACATCTTTGGAATCTATGTGGAATTTATTTTCAAAAAATTCTACATCATGAGATTCTACAATTGTGCTACACTGAAGATCAAGAAGTCTGCAGGCCTTACTATGTTCAGCATATCCAAAGAAAATACTTTTCATTGCTCTAGGCCCCAATTTGGATCTTTTTGGATCCGGTACCCGATAATAAGCCAAACATCCCTACACTTTCAAATGTGAAAAATTAAGTTTTCGTCCTTTTCCAAAATTCACAAGGACATTGATTTGTCTTCCTAGAAATTATTTTGTTATGTAAATAACAAGCAGTATATAATGTCTCTCCCTACAAATTTAAAGGTAATTGAGCATTTACTATCATACAATTTATCATTTCTATAAGTATTGAATTTTTCCTTTCGGCCAAATTTTGTTGTGGTGTGTAAGGTGCAGATTTCTTTTGTAGAATACCATGTAATTCAAAGAAATGATCAAACTTGTGGGGAAAATATTCCATTCCTCTATCACTTCTTAAGAATTTGATTTTCTTATTCAATTGGTTTTCAACTTCACTTTTGTAAACTTGAAATTTACTGAAAATTTCATCATTTGTTTTCACAAGGTAAACATATGTGTATTCAGAAAAATCATCCATGAAAGTGACAAAGTACATTTTCCCTCCACGAGTTAAAACTCAATTCAATACACAAATGTCAGAATGAATTAAGTCTAAAATCTCAATAGTTTTAGAAACACTTGGGAAAGATTTCTTAATTATTTTAAACTTAGCACAAACTCATTTATCACAATTTGAATTAAGGTAATTAATCAAACCAAATTTGCTCATATTTTTAATGGATCTAAAATTTAAATGTGCAATGCCATAAAGAAAAATACTCAACAACATAATAAGAAGTTGTGTTATTCTCATTAATACTTAACTTAAACATCCCATTACAACCATTTCCAACAAATTTTCCATTCTTAATCAAGATCAATTTATTGGATTAAAAAACAACCTGAAAGCCTCTCTTGCATACAAGATTAACAGAAACCAAATTCTTTTGCATATCAGGAACA